TTGCTGCTCTGATGGGGATGCATCCTCAGCCACTTGGAGGCTGCTGATGAATTTTACCGCTCCAGTGGCTTCTTCTTTCTTGAGCTCTTCAGTTCAGGAATTAAGTGAGAAATACTCATAAACATTTTGTCTAAATGCCCAAGCAAGAAAAGCCACTGGGAATAACTGAAGTTTTCAATCCTTCGGTGGTTACTTCGACAGATTTCAGAAGTTATTTCAAAGTGAAAATGTAGTATATTGAAAATTATGGAGAGAGAATATTTTGCCCTGTTTTCTTTTCCTGTTTATAGATTGATATGGGCTCTGTCCAATTGATATTGCCCCCCAGCACCTTCTAATGCAGCCTGAATAGAGATGAAAATCAAGATCCTTCATGGCTGACAATCAATAACACTTTGTCTCCAATCCCTCCCCACCATTTCCCTCATCCATCCCCTGGCACTGCTATGGATCAGGAATGGTGTGGCCAGCAGGAGCAGGGCAGTGATTCTTCCCCTGTGCTCAGCACTGCTTGGATAGCACCTCGAGTGCTTTGTCCAGTTCTGGGGTCCCCAATTTAGGAAGTGTCAGAGTCCAGGACATCCCTCTGATTGCCTTGGCTGTCTTGAGACCCTGGCAGGGATCTTGGAGACCCTGGCAAGAAGTCAAAAAACATCTGTGTCTTCAATTTAAGCCTGTTGCCCTGGCTGTCTTGAGACCCTGGCAGGGATCTTGGAGACCCTGGCAAGAAATCAAAAAACATCTGTGGCTTCAATTAAAGCCTGTGGAAAGCTGTCAACTCTGGATGATGAATTACAAGTCACAAGGGTTTTAGTAGTGTGATATTTGAACTAACACAGGATGGAAAAATAGAATTTTGGGATCTTTAGAATGGGGTTCAGGAGACAAGATGGAGGGATTTTGTTGTGTCCCAACCTTCTTCTTTTTCTTCTTGTCCTCCATGTCTTGGTGTGAAAGTGACACTTTTCTATTGGTTTAAGGTAGAGATTCACTTTCTAACATAGGTGATGGGAATTGGTGAAGAAATTGTAAACATACAGATGTTGTTTTGAGTATATAATGTGGGAGCCGCCCAGGCCGGACTGATATGGCTTCTGTACTAGGCAGACTACAGCAGTTCAGAGAAAGAATAGACAGATAAGAAGAAATAAACAACCCTGAAAAGGCAACTGAAATCATTCCATGACTCCTCATTTAACTGTGTTCGGGCTAGGGAAGCAAAGACTCTTGGATCTCTCTTGGGGTCACCCTGACCTTCAGGAACCACAAGAGAGAGAAATCCACAAGAAAGGACATGGAGGGGCTGGACCGTGTCCACAGAAGGACAACAAGGCTGGGGAGGGGTCTGGAGCACAAGTCCTGTCAGAGCGACTGAGGGAGCTGGGGTTGTTGATCCTAGAGAAGAGGAGGCTCAGGTGAGACCTCATCACTCTCTACAACTCCCTGACAGGAGGCTGCAGCCAGGTGGGACTCAGGGTCTTTTCCCAGGGAACAGGGACACGGCAAGAGGACACAGCCTTCAGCTACAGCAGGGGATGTTTAGGCTGGACATCAGGATATATTCTTCACACAAAGGGTGACTGGGCATTGGAATGGGCTGCCCAGGGAGGTGGGTGAGTCACTGTCCCTGGAAGTGTTTCAGGAAAGACTGGATGTGGCACTCAGTGCCATGGTCTGGGTGACAAGATGGTGTTGGGTCCCAGGTTGGACTTGATGCTCTCCAAGGCCTTTTCCAGCCTGGTTGATTCTCTGATGACTGTGACACTGCAGGGCCCTGGGGAAGCAAGGGGCCATTGTGACACTGTGGGGCCTGGTGTCACTAAGAGGCCCATGGTGACACTGTGTACGACATGGCACCACAGAGCCATGGGGACATTGTGACACGGTGGGGCTGAATGGGAGAAAGGAGTGCATTTTGACAGTCTGGGTCCTGGTGGAACCAAGAGATCACTGTGACCCTGCAGGGCCTGTGGAACCAAGAGTCCATGGTGCCACTGTGAAACCAAGGAGAACCTTGGAAGAGCCTGAGGATAATGGAACCAAGGGGCCATTGCTTCATTGCAAGGACTCTGGGAACTGAGGGAAAAATTGTGACACTGTGGTGCCCCATGAAACCCAGGGTCCCTGGTGACACTGCAGGATCTTGTGTCACCAGGGCTCCGTTGAGACACAACAGCACCAAGGAATTCATTGTGGCACTCTGAGGCCTCGTGGAACCAAGAGGCCACTGTGACCCTGCAGTGCCTGTGGAACCCTGCAGAGCTTTGTGACAGAGCAGGACCTCGTGTCATGATGGGGCCATTGTGACATTGCCGAGCCCCATGGAACTGAGGGGCCAGTGCTGCTCCTCAAGAACTCACGGAATGAAGGAAACATGTTTGACACTGTGGTGGCCCTTGGGACCAAGAGGCCATTGTGACACTGTGGGACCAAGGAGAGCATTGCTGCCCTGCCAGACCTCATGAAACCAAGGATCCACTGTGACACTGCAGGACCTTGGGGGACCACAGTGATTATTGTGACACTTCAGGGCCCAAGGATCCAAGGGACTTTGTGACACCAAGGGGTCCCATGGAACTAAAGGGACATTGTGTCACTGGGAGGCCTCACGGAATTGTGGAGACCATTGGGACACTCTGGAGCCTCATGGAACCATGGTGATACCAAGTTGTCTGTGAGAGTTGATCTGCTGGAGGGTAGGAGGGCTCTGCACAGGGCCCTGGACAGGCTGGATCCAGGAACCAAACCCAACAAGGTGAGGTTTAACAAGTCCAAGTGCCGGGTCCTGCACTTTGGCCACAACAACCCCTGCAGTGCTACAGGCTGGGGACAGAGTGGCTGGACAGCAGCCAGGCAGAAAGGGACCTGCAGGGACTGATGGACAGCAGGCTGGACATGAGCCAGCAGTGTTCCCAGGTGGCCAAGAAGGGCAATGGCTCCTGGCCTGGATCAGGAATGGTGTGGTCAGCAGGACCACAGCTGCTATGCCAGCATTGATCTGCCCCAGCTCTGCACACAGACGTTGCTGCTGCAGCTCCAGAGAAGGCAACAAAAGGGCATCTCTGCAGAAAACTCTGCTGGGAGATCCTTTAGTTCCTTTAAATCCACTGAGAGCACAGCTCCTTATTTAAAGAGTCTGGGCACAGGGAAGGAGAAGAGAATGAAAATGAGAAATCCACAAACCATGACATTTTTTGTCGAAAATATTAAAATATAAAAAAAAGGAAAATAACCTCCAAAGGAAAACAACAAGAAGTATCAAAGATTACTTTTATTACAAATGATTTGCCAAAATTGGCCAGCTGTTTCATGTTCCTGAAAGCATCCAGTCATCAGTGTCCACACTGCAGCCTTGAGCTCCTGGTTCCTCAGGCTGTAGATGAGGGGGTTCAGGGCTGGAGGCACCACTGAATAAAGAACTGACAGGGCAAGATCCAGGGATGGGGACGAGATGGAAGGGGGCTTCAGGTAGGCAAACACTGCAGTGCTGACAAACAGAGAGACCACGGCCAGGTGAGGGAGGCAGGTGGAAAAGGCTTTGTGTCTTCCCTGCTCCGAGGGGATCCTCAGCACAGCCCTGAAGATCTGCACATAGGAGAAAACAATGAACACAAAACAACCAAATACCAAACAGGCACTAGGAGCAAGAAGCCCAAGTTCCCTGACATGGGAACTGGAGCAGGAGAGCTTGAGAATCTGTGGGATTTCACAGAAGAACTGGCCCAGGGCATTGCCATGGCACAGGGGCAGGGAAAATATATTAGCTGTGTGCAGCAGTGAATAGAGAAAGGCACTGACCCAGGCGGCTGCTGCCATGTGGGCACAAGCTCTGCTGCCCAGGAGGGTCCCGTAGTGCAGGGGTTTGCAGATGGACACATAGCGGTCGTAGCACATGATGGTCAGGAGGAAAAGCTCTGCTGAGATGAACAAGACAAAGAAAAAGAGCTGGGCAGCACATCCTGTGTAGGAGATGTTCCTGGTGTCCCAGAGGGAATTGTGCATGGCTTTGGGGACAGTGGTGCAGATGGAGCCCAGGTCGCTGAG